CGAGTGGAGGCGGGGCCTGAGGCCTACTTCTGCCGGGGTGAGTGCAACGTAAATTAAAAGGAATCCTCGGGCTTAATTAACCGTCAGAGAATTGTCTCCTTTACAGCAGGCCTTAATATTTCATTTCGTTCGCTTGCTGTGTCTTAATGGTTCATTTTTTAAATAAATGATTTGATTACAGGTTCAAAAGTCAAAAGATAATGTTTCCACTTCCAATAACTGCAGAAACCCTCACGCATTATGAAATGTGGGCAAAATATATGAAGACAGCTGCGTGAGGCACTGGAGCTGATAATAGAGGGGTAATGCTGGGTAGCTTGGAGTCTCAGCAGGTGAGAAGCCAGAAGCTGTAACTCCCTTCCAATAGGTGATTGGCCTAAACTGCACATGTATGGGTAAGATTCCAGGATCCCAGGGAAAGGCAGAGCTGCAAGGGCATGGAACTGAGAAGATTAATTTGCTATAAACTCCAGGGGAGACTTGGTAAACACCTCAGTTTTCCATTTAAATCCTAAAAGGGCATTACCTTGGGAATAAAGACTGGGTCCTAGAAATAAGGGCTTTGCACTAAGGTTTCGGGCAAAATCAAAATGTATCTGCCTGAATAAAATTTAAAGCCCAGCCTCCACAAGGCCGTGGTGATCCTCCAGTAATTCAACTCCCTAGCAGGGGTGGGGAACCTTTTTTTCTGCCAAGGGTCATTTGGATATTTATAATATTATTCGAGGGCCATACAAAATTATCAACTTAAAAATTAGCCTTGAAAAAAGTTCCTAGATTTATTGACTTTCAAGTCCCACCTGCGGTTACCCTGGCAGGGCCAGACCAAATGATTTCTCAGGCCGTATATGGCCCAAGGGCCGGACATTTCTGACCTCTGCAAGAGGAAACAAAAACTCAACACTTTTCAGAGAGCTATAACAGAACCCAGAGATTCTATGACATATTATCTACAATATCTGATATACAATAAAAATACAAGATATGCAAAGAAACAAATGTTTTTGAATCAATAGAAAAAAATTCAGATTCAATCAACAGAAACAGATTCACAAATTATTCTAGGTAATAGAATTAACAGAAAAGTGCTTTATAATAAATATGTTAAAAAAGCTACAGAAGCCCTGGCCGGTGTGGTTCAGTTGGTTGAGCACCATCCAGTGCACCAAAAGATGGCCAGTTCCATTCTCGGTCAGGGCACATGCCCGGGCTTTGGGTTCAATCCCCAGCAGAGGGCATGCAGGAGGCACTAGAGTCATGGTTCTCTCTCATGATGTTTCTTTCTCCTCCTGTCCTCTCTCTAAAATCAATAAAAACATTTTTTAAAAAACTAGAGGATAGATATGACTAAGGAGAACATAAATGGAATCAGTAGATTACCTGATGAGTTGGACTGCATCTTTTCAGCTCAGAGAGTTTAGGGGACCAACTGAAGCAGAAAGCTCACCTCACCCACCTTACTAGGTTGCCTAGAGAGAACTTTCTAGATGGTGCTCTGTAGAACACAAGATGCTTGGGATACTACTAAATGCCCCTGGATAAATGGGTCACGAAAGACAGTGGGTCCAGCATGGGCTCCGAGGAACAATACAGCCTGACTAGCTGGTGAGTTTCAGCGGTGCGGGGGGTGGAGCAAAGCCTCGGGACAACCACAGAACTGTGGTCCCGCACCCAGTGCTGCCGGAAGGCCTGGGCCACGTGGTCTGGATTTGGCCCTTTGGCAGCAGTTGCGGTGGCAGCCAGTAAGGGTTGAGGAGGTGAAAGCAGTTCGCATAAACCACCACTGAGACTTCCAGGAAAGGGGTAGAAAATGGCAAGGTGAGAGCTCCCATCTCCAGTCTCCCCTGGCCAGAGTCCCGGCCGGCAGCCTCCCCCCGCGACGGCTGTTTCCTCCTCGATGTGCCCCAGGTCTGCTCCTCTCCACAGCCCATGACCAGCCTGTGCTTCTCCCACATGAGCATCCCCCCAACTGCACTTCAGCCGTGGCTCTTGTCCCCCTAGTTCTTTCTCACCTCTGAGTGAACTCTTGGCAGACTTTAACTTGGGATCACTGTGCTGGGCAGGTCCCCATGGCCCCCACATGGAAGCAACTGATACCCCAGTCACAGCCCTACTCCTGACTTCCCAGACACAAGCCATGAGGTGCTGCAGGCTGCCCTTGTGTGCCATCTGCTCCCCGATACCACCTGTGCCATCTGTTCCACCTGTTTCCACCTCACTGGAACCCAGTCTCCTCCTGATCTTACCATTCTTCTTGGTTCTTTGACTCCTGGCCTCTGCACCATGAGGTCCAGAGCAGCAGGTGGTCCTGCCTGTTGTGTCCCCAGCACAACTGAAGGTACTCGTAGCAGGTGGCTATTTCACAGTTGATGGATATGTGGGTGGAGCAGAGCATTTCAATTTTGCTTTTGAGGGTGCTGAAGAATGTTCTCAGGTGAAGAAAAAAGTGAGAGAGAAATGTGGACAGGAAGGCTGTGCATTGGGATGGTCAAGGGGAGGAGACCCCATCCTTGTAGCCAAGGGTGGACTTCAACGTCAGGGGAAGCTGAAGGGGATGCAGCAGGGAAATGATGCCATTGGTATCTGATCCCAGTGTGTTTATTTCTCTTAATGAGTCTGAGTCTGGTAATGAACTCTCGTAAACTGTCAATACTGAACTTGGGACATTTAACTCTCAGGCCAGCCAGAGCACTTCTGGTGAGATGCTTATGTGGGGCTAAGTGTACAGTTCAGTTCCCATCTGCACGTAACCCTCTGAGCTTCCAGAAGGCAAAGTGCAACATGTTCCAGAATCACGTTTTTTTTGTATTAAAGCCAACTCTCACCTGCTGAGGGATAGAAGGCAAATTCTTATAAGGTCTAAGCTAGACCTAGCTTGGGGGCTATGCTGGCTGCATCCCCAAACCTCTGGGGGCCCACTGTCCCCATCACGGCCCCTTGTGTCTATTCCTGCCTGTCTGCTGCTGAAGGGAATCCACTGATGCCTGGGTGAGGGATGACAGGACACCCAGCAGGCTGAGCCCAGACACTGCAAGATTCAGGGTTAAGAATGGGTTTCTTTAGCTGCATAGTCGGTTACAAGCCTGGTTGGATTTTTGGTCAGAGGCTGCCAAATACCAGTATACTGAGTTTACATCAAAATACAAAGCCCAACTTCTAGTTTGAAAACTTAAAACAAGACCCCCCCCCCC